TTTAAATTGTTGTAAAATGACGTAAAAAATGAGAATTTGGTTAAAGATCCATAGTCTAGTAATTAACGTTGCGTTAACTCTGCACCCTTTCGATGTTCACGTCGAGCAGTTTTTCGTTTACCGTCGAGTATATTTGTTATGGAGAATGAAAAGCTGGCTTTTTTTATTTAAAGTCAGATGTAGGTAAAGGAAGGAACATGTCCATAATTTTACAATATGTTAGAGTAATAATAAATTAAAGATTAATAAAGAAAAGACAAAAATCAAGGAGCTATAACATTTGTGTGGAATATTCATAGCACTCTTTCGTTTGTTTCTTATAATAAGACTGCGGATATTTATGCGATATACAGGGTGTCCCAAAATTATTGTACAAGCGAGAAAGAAGGGATTCCTGAGGTTATTTGAAGTAAATTTTTCCTTAGCAAAAATGCAATCCGCGGCTTTGTTTACGAGTTATTAATGAAAAACATTGACCAATGAGAGGCGAGCTCGCCTGGCGCTAGGTGGACGAGCCAATCAGCAGAACTGGGCTTCGTGCGCTCATTAGCTTGGCCACCTCGCGCCAGTCGAGCTTGCTTCCCATTGGTCACTGTTTTTCACTAATAACTTGTAAACAAAGCTGCGGATTGCATTTTCGCTAAGGAAAAAATTATTTCAAATGACCTCAGAAACCCCTCTCTCATCTCCCGCTTGTAAAATAATTTTGGAACACTCTGTAGAAACTGTAGTAACTCAGTTGCATTTTCTCTTTAATAATTGTAATAGTGAAAGTTGTATATCAACATTATGAAATGTATTTGATCTATTCGCATAATATGTCACATTACGGACACTCATTTTTGTTACTAATGCAGTCTACTCGTAATGCAATAAAATTAGAAGGAAAGACACATCTTTTATTATGCAATTTTTTAAGAGTAATTCCGTATAATTCCGTTTATTCCTTTCGTGGAATGGGAAACAGAAACAAATATTTTTACTAGCAAAAATTTACTTTACGTAAGATTATTTTTGAAAAGTTTGATGTTTGTAGAGATTATTCAATTTTCAATAAATAGCAGTAAAGTCTATCGCATGTTTTCTGTGATTCAGTTACTTATTGAAACAAAATAATCGATATTTCATGATCGCTATTCGTATATAATTCATTATAAAAATCCAAGACACGTGGAATAAGTTACATACGAATACAAATCGTAAAGTATTGATTTCTGTGGTCCGCGACAGAAAAAAAAACACGCGACGACCATTGTTTTGTGACTGTCGCGTGGCCTGAAGGTGAGTTGGCTGTAAAAAGTTTAAAAGTTTAAACAAAACAAGCATTAAAATGTTCATTTGTAAAGCATAGTAAATTTGTTCAACCTTTAGAATGGCATTAATTACATTTCGCTTCTAGAGTCATCGAAACTTATACAATTATTATATTATATTTATGGCATTACTATTGACAAAGCATTGTTTAGATAATAAAGTAAGCAGAAAGTTTCTTTCGTCTACTGGAATGTTATTAATTGTAGCAATTAAAGACGTTACAAAATCAAAATCAAATTCAAGTGTAATGACTAGATTGTGGATTTTTATGCAAAATAAAAATTGTTTCCATCAATTGTACAGAACAAAAGTTTAATAAAGATGTACTTTTTCTTTTTATAGTACCAATAAATTCTAAATAGGGTAACAAGGTACTTAAATTCTCCCAATGTCTTCATTGCTCTCATTTCACTTTCCAATTTTTGCCATAAATGCATGAAATCCGTAGTCTAGTAATGACTTATATATAATTTCGTAAAAACCGATCGTTATTAAAATTAAAATAAGAATTAAAGAAAATTATTCGTTGCTTTACAGACGGTTTCTAGTAAATATTTGAGGGTCAATTAGAAATAATTGGTAAAAGTCGATTAATCGAAAAATGCAGATTCACTGGAAACATTTTCGTAACTAACAAATTAAATTTGAAATCTCTGGTTGATCATGATCGATTCGGAACATAAACAGGGTACGCGACGCACGATAACATCAGCGTCAGCGTGTCGTTTGATCCCCCGAGGATGATAATTGCAATGCTAGCTAAACACGAAGATAATTTTGACGAAAGAAAGCAGCTGATATCTACAAGCCTATATTACGAGTCGTACACTTCCGGGTTGTTCAAGATCCGAATCTCTAATACGGAAATACATAATTGTTTCGTCGCTGGGAAATAAATTATTTTAAATTTAAAAAGAAAATTATTCGACAAAACGTACATTATAATCTTCTTTCCTTATCGTTTCATTCGATATTTAAATGTGTTCAACTCGTGAAAAATTAATAACGTTTCATTTCCATTCCAATTAATTTTAATTTCATTCAGAGTTTGTTATTTAAAAGTCTTTGTCAACATGAAAAATCGAAATAAATATTTAGCAGCAGAAATATTAATTTTAGCGTTTATAGAATGGAAGATAGTTGGTATATCTCTTTCTGCCTATCGGTAATTTCTAATTGTTTCTAAAATATGAGTTTGTTCATTGGAAAATTAATATTTCCTCTGTAGGAAAATTAACAATTAATAAAAATTACTGGTCTACTAAGTTACTAGTGCCCAATGTTGTGTTAACGCATATTTTTTCCAAATTTTTTTTCAGCGAATTTATATTTTTTTAGTCGCAATTTTTCCTTCCGCTTGGATCACAGGGTTTGTGGAACTATTTTCACGAGTCCGATAAACCATGCTATCTTTAGTCACGAGTACCTTTTTTTATGCGTTCTTCTTGTGTAATAAATTTCTATTTGGAGTCCCACATTATAGTGTAATATTTATATCACTAGTAAAATAATATATAAGTATCTTATTTATCGTTTTTACGTCATTTCATGTTATTTTATCTACATTTATTTATTATCTTCCATAAAATGTATCTTTCTATTTTTAAATGTATACTTTCATAAGCATAATTATACATATAAAAATGATCTTATTTGATCGATCGCGACTTAATTTTATAGCGAGTGTGAACTGCACAATAAATTGTCCAATGACAATTAACAAATTATTTCGAGTAATAACTACAACGTACTAATTTTTTCGGATTATTATTTTAAAGAGAATTATAAAGTCCTTTTTAAGTACATTCTATGTACAGGGTGTCAAAAAATGTTTCGTTGTGACTGAGGTAGGTGAATTCTGCATCCTCGGATCGGTGAAAATCTGTCAAAAGAAGTTCCCACAAAAGTATCCTTGTTCGTCACTTTCGAGGTCAAATTTCTTTTCAAATTTTTACTCGTTTAAATGTTTACTTTCAACATTGTTTATAAAACGATTAAAAACTAATTTCAACCTTGACGTTCTATGATATACAGGTTCAACCTTTTGCAAATCATAATCACCTCACTTTAAATCTTTATCCTTTCGCGAATGAAATTTATTTTATGCATGTCTAAAGTGAACTAATATAAATATAACTTCAAATACATTTTACAAATTACCTCGGCTATTACTATAGGAATTGAATGGAGACAATCGGGCAAAGTATAGTTAGATTTGAACCATAGAAGCATACACAAGATCCAGGAACTATGTGATCTCGTTGGTCAGACAAGGCTTATTTTACTCTTTCTACCACCTTCAACGATGAGTCAATTGAAGTTTTCCCAAAAATACAATGCTAATTACATCGTGGATGTTATTAAGCGTCCCTGTACACATATTGTCATGATTATTTTATGAATATGTCTACAATAAAATAACCATGTCAGAAGAATCATTGTAAATTATTAGATGAAGGTATGTTCACTATTAATAAGTATTTCAAGTTCATTATAACGACATGTTCGCTATTACGTAAGTATTTTAGGTTCACGGTAAAAATATGATCACTATTGAGTATTTTAAGTTCATGATAAATATATGTTTGCTACTAAGCAAGTGTTTTGAGTTCATTGTTACATACATGGAATACAATTCAAAACTTCAGAACAACAAATTTACATTGGATTTGATTGATCTTACAATAATTTAAAGAAAAAAACAAAGTGAAAGGACTTGCTTCACAAAGGGGCAATTCGATCTTGTGAAAGGATGAATTTGATTTGCATGCGGATGAATTTAATTTACAAAAAGAAGAATTTGATTTATGAATTTATATTTATTAAAATATATATAAAAAGGATGAAGTCAAAGCGCAAAGGGGCGAATTTGATTACCACAACGGAAAATTTAATTAAAGAAGAATTTGATTTATGAAGAATTCGCAGTGCAAAAAGGGTGAATTCAATTTGATGAAAGATGAATATAATTTGCAAAAGGATGAATTCAAAGTGCAAAGGGGTGGATTTGATATGCATAAGGAGGAATTTAATTTACAAAAAGAAGAATTTTATTTACGAAGAATTTGGAGTGCAAATAAGGTGAATTCAATTTGATGAAAGGTGAATACAATTTGCAAAAGGATGATGTCGGAGCGCAAAGGGATGAATTTGATTACCACAAGGGGAAACTTAATTTACAAAAAGAAGAATTTGATTTATGAAGAATTCGGAGTGCGAAAAAAGGTGAATTCAGTTTGTTAAAACGTTGAATATACTTTGCAAAAGAAAGAATTGGAACTGCAAAGGGGTGGATTTGATGATTCGAAATGACGAATTTCGAGTGCAAGGTTGCATCGATAAGCTTCCATTAGCTGAAGCGTTAAAATGATTAGATTCGCTCGACAAGTACCGAGTTAATTTCTTCCCCTCATTGTTCGGTACGTGTTCTCCAGAGAGACAAGTGAACCCCTATAGTTGAACACGAGCTTCTTTGCACAGCCTGTAGAAGAATAGCATAGCACGAGCCACGTTCGCAATTACATGTGTGTATATTCGTGCAGAGGCATGTACATACATGCATACATACATACATACATACATACATACATATATATGTGGTCGCCGCTCGTAAATAATACACGCATGGCCGTACGTGAAATATATAACTACAATGCTGCCACGAGGAGGTCAGTACGTGTCACACTATTGCGGTGGAAACAACCGGCGTCACCTGACACAGTCACGAACGTTGACAGCCCGGGAGACGTGGTGTTCCGAGAACGGCCGTAAGATCATCGAGGATCGAAATATCGCGACGGTAACAGTTCGAGCAACAACATCGACCGTGACGGAACGAAAAGCGTCGCGCGGTCAGCGACAACACAACGAAGAAAAAGGACGCTTCGGGAGACCAAAGAGACTGTCACCTGTCTTCCGAACACCTCGGGTCTTGTCCATCCGATCCGTCAATCATGCTGCTTGCGTAAACGTAGCAAAACGGCCTGGCTATCCTGAGCATGACGCGTTGAGAATCTCGAACGAGACCACCGCCAACGAGCCGTGTACACATTTTACCAGTCGGAGGAGAGCGAAGAGATCGAAGGAGAACGATCCTGGACTTGTCCACCTAACTTCGACTTCGAAATCGCAAATAACAACCGTCAAAGTCGAATTAGCTGCGGCCATCCCCGAAGAGGCTCCGAATCGTGGCCGGGATCTATAGATTCGGTTCTAGTTCTGGCAAGGAAAAGAGTCAGCCGGAATGTCAGCACGTTTCCTCGTCGGCCAAGGGCACGCGAATCCCAGGTCGGGGAAGGTGATAACTATAGAGCGGGTTGCCCGTGCTCCATTCATAATTGAGAAAGTCTAACCGGCCCGAGGCCGCGGCTCGAGACCATGATCGATCCTTGTTTTCACGGCGATGAGCGATCAGTCGCGATTTCGCGGAGTTTCACGTACGAGCGTCGATCGAATCGGCGTGCCGCGCCGTCGCGCTTCCGATGATCCGCTGCCCGGCTTCTCCGTGCAGTTGATTGATCGTCGACGGAAACGCGTCCGCGTCCGCGTCCGCGTCCGCGTGTGCTGTGCTAGATCCTTCCGAGATCGCGGAGTGATCCGCGACAGATAATTCCGTTTCGCGAGCGTTCCGTTCGACGCGAGCGATTCGCGCGGCTCGAATCGAAATCGACTCGAGTGACTTGTGGAGTTTGCGTCGTCGGTGCCACCACGGGGATCGATAGGACCTACTCGTCGATGATCGCGAAGCGATCTTCGGACAGATCCGTGGTTAGCTTTCTGTGCTCGCTTCGAACAGCGACCGGTCGATCGGAACACTCATAAATCAAATTCAACGTTTTGCAAATTAAATTCCCCCTCGTGCGAATCAAATTCACCGATTTGCTTTTCGAATTCATCATTCTCCGAATTCTATTCATTTATCTTTTTAATTCTATTCGTATCTATCGTTTTATCAAATCGAATTCACCTTTCTTGCGCTCCGAATTCTTCGCGAATCGAGTTCTCATCTTTTTGCGAATTAAATCGTTTTATCTTCGTGCAAATCAAATCGTTGTATCGCCAATAGAAGAAGAAGCCACTCTCGGTGCGAGCAACCATTATGAGAATCGGGGGATCGTGTTTGCCCATTGTTCGCGGGAGTGACGGTGTTCTATCGGCGTCGCGGGTTCGAGAATGACAGCACCGATCACTAGTATCGCGAAGTTTATGCACTATTTGCGTGTTACCGGTGACGGATCATTGTTCTCCGGGAGGGCTGTTAGTTTCTGGTAAGCATCATGGATAACAAGGAGGCTCGCATCGAACATGAGATACAGGTACGATGTTTTAACGCTTCGACTTACGTGTCGCCCGTATGCGGGCGATCTATTTACACTGCCCGCCGAAAGTATTAGGTCACTCGGCAGAGAATTAAATAAACTTGAGAAATCGACAGGAAATTGCTGTAGTTTCTGCAATTTGTTTCAAAGTTAATTGTATGAGACTGTAACAACTACATGTATGTCCGTATAATTTTTTGCACTGTGATTAAAATAAAGTCAATCTTGCGAAAGCAAATTGAATTTTCTTCTCGTCGATGTATCCACCGCGTTTTTTAATTAGTTCTTGGACAAACTTCGGAATCCGTTTTATGAGTTTGTTATTATACTATTTCTTATCACTGAACAAAATGCAATAAATGGCTAGACTAATTGCACAAGTGACAAACGCTTGTAACTTAACGTGTACTTTCGGCAATACGATGTGATAAAATTTAATACTAAACATAAAACATTACCTGTACATGAATGAAAAATTACAATTTATAAATATATATATATATATATATATATATATATATATATATATATATATATATATATTATAGTATATATTATATAGTATATATTATATATATTTATGTATAGTATATATTATATTATAGTATGTATTTATATATTAAATCAGCAGGTGTCCTAATACTTTCGGAAGAGGCTGTACATCTAACAACTAAACGGCGGATTTTATGCGGATTTTATGGGTAGATCGAACGCAAAATACTAAAACTATTTGAAGACTTCCAAAATTACTGTTGCATTATTCTCAGCTGATTATAATTATTAACGGTAAGACGTGAAATTGATATGAACATAGCTGCTGTGTCATGCAACTCCTGCTTGCAAATTTTATTTTGCATAAAAATCCACTGTCTATTAATGACTACTAATTCCTAATTTTATCAGGATCCGCAAACGGTAAGAATCTTGAAAATGTAATTATCGGTGGCATATAACTTAATTTTTCAATTTTAATTTGTATCAAATATATCCGTAGTTTAACTGCTGTTTCTTTCAATTTGCTTTCTTTTTATTCTCTTTGTCAATTCTATTTAACATTAAGTTTACGGGACCTATTATTGATATTATAAAGATACTATATTGATATCATATTATATTGATATTATTATTATTATATTGATATTATTATATTATATTGATATTGTTATTGATATTATAAAGATACATTTGTAGGAAACTTGTCGAAGAAATCTGTTTCTTGGGACAAATGTTACAATAAAAGTTGATAAAAGTTGGAATAAAGATATTATTGTTGTTTCCATTAAGTAATATGTAATTGCTGCTTTTATTGCTTCGTAAATCTAGCGTTAAAATTTCGATTGGGAACGACGCGCGATTAGCTCAGATTTATTACCACTTTAGTATCGTTCATTGTCAGCCTTTGTTCTTCGATTTAAGTATTAAAACGTCGAGCGCCGCGTCGCGTCGGTCAAATATGGGTGGCACTAATTTTTTATCAATCTTGAAAGTTCATTTTCATTGTAATATATTCGAGCAAACTGAATTTGACCACTATAATAAATTTTAAGTTTCTAGTTTCGGCTTAATTAATTGAATTGCTTTGACTTTGTGGGAATTTTAGTGGATAATTGTCGGCGCTGAACGTATTTAATATCGTTTATTCACATGTTATATATGGTCGAAGAAGAGAATAATTTCTAACATAGGCCGGAAGACTATTTGTGAGAAATGTTGAATTGTGACTCAACTAGTTTTTCTTAGTATACACGATTTTCTGCATTTGCCAATCTCGTGGATGATACAAATACAGAAGAATTCTTAGTTTAAGTGCGATTATTGATATTGAATAATTTCCTACTAAATCGAAGGGAAATTATCTGTGAATCAGATCAATGTTATTTTATGCTTGAATCGTGCATGAATGGATGCACCACTATTTTGAGGAAAAACAATATTTTATCTAAACAAACATTTTCATTTCTAAGAATCTAGCGCGGAGTTGCACATTTTGATTAGTGTACTTTTGGAGAGAACTTAGTAATTCGGGTAATTATTCGAAACGACTGTTATTGAAATATCAAATAGAACAAAAGAAACAACGTTAGTAGAAAACAAAGAATATTACTATAAAAGTATTATTCTTGTCAAACAAATTCGAACATAATATATCCATTACAATGTTAATTTCCATCGAATAACTA